GGGGGGGTTAATCAAATCAGAACCACGTAGTTTGTGATAACTGTGAGATCCAATGTGAACCACTTATTTGAAATATTTAAGGATATTTCTTAAATAAGGTAAAAGAATTTAAGTAACTATTTTTGAAAGGAAACATTTAATTAGTTTTCATTACCTAATATATTAATTACATAATATATATTGTCTTTTAAAAATGTTTGTGGACTAAATTGTATCACGGTGATAATGTTTGCAATATATCACAACGTGTATTATGATGTATTTTCGGTGTTTTATGAACTGTATCACAGCATGCATTTTCATTTTTTTTTTGTTGCTTTACAAATGTGTGTTTTTGTTATTTTAGTTGCTTTACAGAGGTATCACATTGTGCATCTTGTGTTCACATATGGTTCGTCGAAATATCCTTAAAATTTCCTTAATTAATATTTTAAGTTAAAATTACTAAAATTATTAATTTTCTAAGTTAACCTTTGATTTATGGTTGAGATGAGATATCACGATTATCATAAATTACCAAGTTCTCCCTTGAATTGACCCCTATATGTGTGTGAATCATATATGATTTTATACATTGACGACATTTTTCTTGTTTTCTTAAATAATTAAAGTTCTCATTTGAATATATATATATCCAAAAAATACCTTAATTGGGAATTTGGTTTCACTACGTCCAATCTAAATCTGCTTAAATATAAATCATTGTTTTGTCCCTTATTATTATACAATTTTGTGGATGTTGACATAATAGTACTTCCATACTATTCATTGATTGTTTGGTTTACTCATGTAATAGGTGGTCAAAAATCGCAGCTCAGTTTCCAGGTCGTACAGATAACGAGATCAAGAACCATTGGAATACCCGAATCAAGAAGAAGATGAAATTTTTGGGATTAGACCCTCGTACACACAGTCCCATCGAGCAGCATCATAATCCAGACACAATTATCAAACGAGAGAACAACGAATCAACTTCTTCACGTAACTCTTTCAATAATTACGATATCAGAGAAGAAAAACCCGACATCTTAAACGACAAAACTCCGACGATCGAAGATATTGGATTGATGATGATGTCACATGACCATGACCATGAAGATCACCATCATCGTCTGGAGTCTTTAAACACTTGTTTTGAGTTAGAACTCCCACAAAATTGGATTGATAACCCAGGATTCCAATGGGATGTTTTCAATGATCCAGGATTGGGTTTTCATTGATTTAAAATAATTTGTAATGTCTTTTTTTAAATAAATATAACATTTAACATTTAAGTTAATAAAAGTATTTAAATATTTTTTTTAACAATTATCAATAGAGTAAATTAGTTTTTTTTTATCTATATGGTTTGTTAAAATATGTGGTTTTCATTCCTGTGATTTGGAAATTGCAGTCTTCGTTGGCTTGTAATTCGTTGCAATTTTCGTCCTTATAATTTACAGTTTTACTGTTATTTTAATCCTTATATTTTACAATTATTTATCATTTTGATCCCTTATGCTTAAAGGTAGGAATTAATACAGATATGAAAATAATAATAAATTGAAAATTATAGAAATGAAAATCGAAATTATTAACAAACTACAAGGATGAAAATCGTAAACAATATTTTAAAAAATTAATGTTTAACCACAAAGGTGATGTATGATTTGTTTGAGCTTGGGCTCCAAAGGTAAAAAATGTCTGGAGGTATCAGGTTCAAATCCAAAAAGGAATAAAAATCCCCTTGTGGCCACAAAGTTTCAAATGTGGAGAATCTGGACTACCCGCAAAGCAGGTGATCGTTCTGGGATTAATCGACTAGCATAGCAAGTTGGATATCCAGGTTAATCAAAAAAAAATCTTAATACTTGTGTTAATATGTTGTACATTGTGCAATTTGATTTGAACATTGTGCAATTTGATTTGTACATTTGCTTGCATTTGCACAATAGATTTTGATTATCTAATAAAATAGAAGTACTAGAAAATAGACAAAAAAATGAATAAACTGTGATTTTGAGTTTCTTGTTTATATCTATTTTTATCTTTGGTCTTTAAAAGTTGGTTTTTTAATCATTGTAGTTTTTATTCTGTTTTGCTTTTCGTTCTGGAGACTAAGGGTACGTCTGTTAGCAGCTTAATGAGTTTAATAAGACTCACAACTTATTTTATCAGCTATACATAATTGTTTAGTAGTAACTTATTCAGTAAACTTCTAGGGAAAACGTTATTCAGAAAGTCAAGTTTTCTTTTTCGAATCTGCTCATTCCAATTAAGAAACTTACTCTTTTCATCTAATAAAAAACCTTCCCAGATAAAAAAAATCTTAATCTATACAGATAAATTAATTCACACATACAATTATATAATTGAAAATCAACCAAACAGTCCCAACTATGTTAGAAAATTTCCAGCAAATCAAGAATAAAATATGAAAGAACAATGAAATGTTTTTGGGCAAATTACATGAAAAAGTAACGTATTTTAACTTAATTCATATTTAGGGCAACGTACTTTTACAACTTTCATTTTGGTAGCTAAAATGTAAGTTTGTACCCCGGTAACCAGTTTTAGAATTAAATATATAATTAAAAAATATATTCTGCCAAAAGCCCATAAATCAAGCTTCATTTTGGGCTAATGGGCTTCCAAATATGACTCATAATGGGCCAAAATTTGGCTGTAGAACCAACTTCTAATTTCCAGAGACATCCGGAAAACCTCTAAAAAAATAACACAAAATCCAAAAAGATCAGGTGGGGTCCAAAGTAGCCAGAGACCCACTTCTCTAACATTCTAGAATTTTCTATTCTTACCCCTCAACTTATCTATATATACACATAACCCCCTTCGCTTTTTCATCACAGTTTCTTGAAGCAGAGTAGAAAACTAGAAACATGGCTCAATCTCAGATGACACTCCCACTGTTCTCTCAAAGAATTACAACCCCCAAATCAAACCCTTCATCTGTAATCTTGATCCCAAACACCCACAAAAAGAACCCTAATTTCACCAAGATCATCAAGTCAGCAGCAGCAAATGGTGATCATTTACAAAGCACAGGCATCAAAAATCAACAACAGAAACAACTCATCAAGAAAAGACCCACCCAATCTCTACCAATTGGTAATTTTCAATTTTTCCTTCAATTTCTTATGTGGGTATGCATAGTTCTTCACATGTGAATGAAACAGCAATCAAGATTGAGTCTTTTTGTGTTTCAGGGTTATGGGACAGATTCCCAACAGCAAGAACAGTGCAACAAATGATGGACACGATGGAAAGACTAATGGAAGATCCGGTGGTGGCATACGGAGTCGGTGGTGGCGGTCAGTTCGCCGGAGATAGTACAAGCAGTTACAGTAGGGGAAGGACGCCATGGGAGATCAAAGAAGGTGAAGATGAGTATAAAATGAGGTTTGATATGCCTGGAATGAAAAGAGAAGATGTGAAGGTGTGGGTGGAAGAGAAGATGCTGGTTCTGAAAGCAGAGAAGATGAGCAGTGACAGCAATGGCGAAAGTAACGGCGGAGCCTCCGCCGCCGTGGATGACGGAGATTGGAGTGCAAAGAGCTATGGGAAGTATAGTTTCCGGATTGCGTTGCCGGAAAATATACAGTTTGAGAAGATTAAAGCTGAAGTTAGAGATGGGGTTTTGTATGTAACGATACCTAAAGCTCCTCTTTCTTCAAAGATTTTGGACATCAATGTGCAATGAAAGTGGAAGTTCGAATAAATGCGCCATTTTCGAAGTTCTTTGTTCATGTGTTCATGATTGTGAGTCTTTTTTAAAATATATAATACTTATGTATGACATTTTTATCTTTGGTGAGGTTTGAATCCTTGATTTTTTTATCTTTGGTAAGGTTTGCATCTCACGCCATACTAAAAATGTGGTACGCCATGGCGTGACGTGTGGTTTTTATAACAAAATATTTGATTTTACTTACCTTTTTAAAATGTTTTATTTGTTAGTTTTTAACTTATAACCTAACTTAAATTGTTTACTATCATTGATTCATTGAGTAACAGTAAAAAACATATATATATACATATAATATTATAGATGATATAGAGATTTGCAGCTACAAATCACGGTTTGAAAATCGTCATGATCTCGCTATGGCTTCTAAGGCTCGAGGCTTGAACTCGCCGTCACGTCTCACCCTATTTGAAACCTTGTACGCTACTATGAATTCACAACGATATGTATCACTTCAGAAACATGCCTATCTTGTTTACTAAGGGTTTTGCAAATATGATAGCACATGATATAACGTATAGATCATGTTTTTATTTTAGTTATTAACTGAAAAACAAATTATTGACTGATAAGTTAGTTGTTAACTACTAGACTAACAACGTTTTGGTTAAAACTAACTTATAAACCAGTCAATAATATGAGATTTCATTAAAAAAACATATTGCAATATTATTTGTAAAAAAATGGAAAAATATATTATGAAACGTATTAAAACACGAACAAAGATTGTTTTTCAAAAAGGCAACTTTATAGTTAATCGATCGAAGGTTTTTCAGTAAGCTCAAAAATAAGCCAAATTATGGTTCCTAAATATGACCTTGATAAAAAAAAAAGATCAAATGTTATTGGTATACAGGTTGAACTATGAGGTGTAGACAAACACAATAAACCATATGAACATGATAATGTGAAAAGAATAACTGCAAGATGACCGAAAATAAAGATATATAAATACAAAATGTTTTTACTACTTTATTCAAACTTGAAATTAATACACAATATGAGTCTTTTTTTCTTACCACCTGCTTTGTGGAAAATTCGGAGTCATCATATTTGAATCTCTATGATCATAAGAAGATTTTTATTTCTTTTTAAATTTGAACTTGAGATCTTCAGACATTTTTGACATTTGGAGACTAAACTCAAACTAATCAGACATCATCCTTATTGTTATTATTTTGAGTATGTGGTTACAAGATAATTGCTAATAATAAATTAATTAATTAATTTAATGTAATAAATAGGCACTTTAAATACCAATTAATTAATAAAAAAATCACATAATCAAAGGGCATTTGGTCTAGTAGTATTGTAGTCTTTGGTTTTTTAAAAAGTCAAGGGTTCAAATATCACCATAAGTAAAGAAGGTGTATGAATTTATTTATTATATTTACTATATATAAATATTATATATTTGAAAAAAAAAAGGTAGCTTGATTCTCGAGGAGAAAATGATTGATTGATGTATTATATTATGCACTATCATCAACTTTAATTTAGAGATATTAAATAAATAAAAATATTTAATTTTGGGTGTTGAAAAGTTCATTAGAATATTATTAAATTATTTAGCGGTATCAATTATTTAGCATCCGCTTTTATATATTTAAAAATCAAGAAAAATACAAGGATATTGTTGTTCATGTCGCCCTTTTCATGTTATCCGTTTGCATCGAATAATATATATATAGGGAGAGAGAGAAAATTAGGAACACATAAGACCAGTATATTTTAGTAAGACGTGTGAAATCATTTTTTTACACTTGAAATTTTACAGCAAAACGTTGTGATGTAACTTTCACAATGTGTTTTGCTGTGAAAATTCGGGTTTTTTTACTTTCACAACGTCTTGTTATGAAGTTTCAAGTGTAAAAAAAAATGGTTTCACGAAAACAGGTTGGTATCACGTTATATATATGTGTGTGTGTGTGTGTGAGAGTGTGTAATCAACATGTTTTCATGAAACCATCATTTTACACTTAAAACTTTATAGCAAAACATTGTGAATGTAAAAAAATTCAAACATTCACAACAAAAACACTGAGAAGATTATTTTTGTAGTATTTTACTATGAAGTTTCAAGTGTTAGAAATTGATCTCATGACTCTCACAAAAATAATATGATCTCATATGATCAAGTCTATGTGTGTGTGTGTATATATATATATATATTTTAAAATTAATATTGTTTTTAAAGTATATAATATTTATATATGATAAATGCAATAAATAAATTCACACATTCTTCTCATTTTTTGGTGAGGTTTGAACCTTTGACTTCCTGAAAGGCTAAAGGCTACAATATTGCTAGACAAAAGACTCTTTAATTTAGAATTAATATTGTTGAATGAGTTTTATATAAACAATCTGAGTTAGATGGATTAAATAGCGAATTAATATGAATAAAACTTTAAAACATATAAAAGTCTAGTTGTAATAATTTCTGTTTATTTTAGAATTTTGATAATTTTATCATATATTATTATATAATAATTATTAAAAATACTTTCAAAGAATTTAAAATCGTACAAGTTTTTTAGATCATTTTATCCGTTATTTGACTTTATTTGTTTTAGTTTTAATGGTTTAATATATTATCAATAAAATATAATTTAAATTTATCAAAAATAAAAATTATGAAATAAAAAACATATGAATGCATTAAATTAAAATATTTGAATAACTAAAAATGTTGGTGAGAGATGCTTAAAAAACTTGACAAGTGTGTCTTGGTGAACCATCCAAAGAATCATTAATTCAACTACCCATTTAAAATTATTTAATGACATTAAATATTTTAAGTAACTTGACAATATATATATATATATATATATATATATATATATATATATATATATATATAGGATCATTCAAATGAAAATTCGGTTGTTTGTGATAACTGTAATAACCAATATCGATCAAAATCATATGATAATTTATTAAATTATTAATTTTGATAATTTTGACTTAAATTTTTAATTAAATGACATTTTAGGTGTTTTAGAAATCTCCTTTCTCCGACAAGCTTTATTCTGACGAATCTTATTCCGACAAACACATGATGCACACTGTGTCACTACCTGATACGTTGTGTTACACTTCGTAAAACAACAAAAGTACATTGTGATACACTTCGTAAAACAACAAAACACATCGTTATACCATTGTTATACTAGATTTGGGTGATGATTCACTGTCATCTTTCTTCTACTAAAACACCTTTGATGCAAAACCTTGGATTTTTTTTTAAGATCGAAGCGTAAGAATGAATCTCTATCCTTAGATGTACATTAGGATTAGATGCACTAGATCAATCCTTGTATCAAACGCGATTCGCAAGTGTGTTTGAGATTAAAGGTGATTAAAGGTCCAAATCTCTTTTTATGCTTCTCATCTTAACACTTGTTATCCCATGATACTTCACCTATAACCTCAATCATTTGAGAACTCCCTATATTATGATAATTATAAGAACTATTATCCTATTGTATTGTTTCACATGATTCTGTTTTCATCTATGCTAAAATTTAACATATCAGTTAACATATACTTCTTTTATAATGTATCTGTTTATAACATATACCTTTTAGTATTCAAATGTTGGTTACCAACAAAACTAAAGAGTTAACCCCTTAATTTGTTCCAACCACTCCTTTCAAAATTCAAAACAAATTCAATTATACATAGAGAAAGCCATCAAAAGGAAGCCAATCATGTTTTTTTATGCATACAACTAAAGTAAACCCTAATTTATTATGAGGAAAATGGTTGCAATCCAAAAAGAATTTGGCATTCAAAGTCCCAATTGGTGGGAGCATTCATATTAAAAGAACTTTGGTAAGCCACAAAACATGTTCATAACAGTGAAATTATTACAATCATATCAGTAACATGTTTTTCAGTGGATCTTAAAGCATGCCAGAAGGTTTCAACTTTAAAATGGTATGATAATCAGTATTTTGTTGTGTAGGGTTCGTTATTATGACATTTGTTTGTCAGGCCTCTCTTTGTTTCGGGTCTTGTTTTATTCTCCTTCTTGTTGTTTCCTTGTCTAACGTTTGGGATTTATGTCTTAGGGGATGTTTGGTTGGTTTTATATTTTGTATGGATAAAGCTGTATGTGTTGATTAATCTGTTTGTATAAATTGGAAAAGTTTTTGTTTGAAATAATTTCTTCATAAATGGAAGGAACGTATTTTAAGGCAATTTATATATTATTTAGCTACTGTAAAACAATTATATATAGCTGACTAAATAAGTTGTGAGTATCGCTAAACTAATTAAACTGCTAAGAAACAAGCCCTTAGATTGCTTTATGCGTCTTACAGAAAGATTCATCTATGTTATGTTTTTTCTAATTTTCTTGCTAAATACAATTTTTATTCAATTTTAATAAAATTATCCGGTACAAATGATTAAATACAGTTAAAATGCTTTATTATATTATCATCTCCTAATTTTAGTTTACTTTTTGAAACAATTATTCATGTTATTTTATTAATTTAGGAAATAAAAATTAATTAAGACAATTATTAAAATATAAATACACACACATATATATATATATATATACATATATATATATATATATATACATATATATATATACAGGGAAGGGTTCAAACGAGAACCCCTGTGATTTACGAGAATGCAAGAACAATTCAATAACCTCATATTGTGATAAAAAATAAAATTAAAAGATTTTTAAAATTAAAATTGAAATTTAAAAAGATTCAAAAAATTTAAAATTAAAAGGATAATAATGGAAATGATATCATCAAATCTTTTAAACACGATCATTATCTTTTAAACACTCATTATTATCATTAGTCTTATCATTATCTAGTAAAACGGTTACGAAATARGTTAGGATTATACTAGGTGTAATAATCATGTGATATGAGTGTGATAATCATGTGATAGGGGTGTGATAATCATGTGATAGGGGTGTGATAATCACCATTATACATCACTTGGGTTATCGTTTTAGTTAATAAGTTAAAATTTTGGTATAATCATGTGATAGGGGTGTGATAATCATGTGATATGAGTGTGATACTTATGTGATAGGGGTGTGATAATCACCATTATACATCACTTGGGTTAACGTTTTGGTTGATAAGTTAAAATTTTGGTGTCATCATGTGATTTGGGTGTGATAATCATGTGATAAGAGTGTGATAATCACTGTTATACATCACTTGGGTTATCGTTTTGGTTGATAAGTTAAAATTTTGGTGTAATCATATAATATGGGTGTGATAATCATATGATATGAGTGTGATACTTATGTGATAGAGGTGTGATATGAAGAAAAGATGTTAACGAGAAGAAGAAGCAGATAACTACCAAGAGTAAAACGTGGAACGTGAAAAGATAATTATGGTTAATTAAAATAAAATAAAAATTATAAAAATTACTTAATTACATTATTGTCCTTATTAAATTATTTATATATAATAAAAGTTAATTTATTAATTAAAAAAGTTTGAGGTTATTGGATTGTTCTCGCATTCTCGTAAATCACAGGGGTTCTCGTTTGAACCTCCACCTATATATACATATATATATATATATATATAATATATAGATATATGGTATTTTCATTTATTTAGAATTTTTATTTTATGTTTTACCTTATATATATAGACTTAGAGTCACGTGAGACTAGAATGTTTTTGTGAGATTCGTGAGACCATTTTTTATACTTGAAGCTTCACAATAAAATGTTGTAAAAGTAATATTCACAGTGTTTTTGCTGTGAAGTTTCGGTCTTTTAACTTCACAACGTTTTATTATGAAGTTTCAAGTGTAAAATAATAGTCTCACGGATCTTATAAAAACATGTTGGTCTAACGTGAACTCAATTTTATACATACATGTACATATACATACATATATATATATACATACATACATATATATATATACATACATACATATATATATATACATACATACATATATATAAAAGGTAAAAGATAAAAAATTCCGAGATAAATGAAAATAGCACCATATTCAAGATTAGAAGACACCAAAGCATCCTTCTAACAAACCCAAGTACCCAACCAAACAGCCTCCTAACCTCATTTTTTAGAAAAATTTGCAGTCTTTATCCCCATCATTTTTTTATTTGATCCCCAAATATTCCCATCAAAGAAACTATCCAACTCAAAGCCGCCCCATCTCAAAGGATAAGAAGCCCCCCCCTTTCTTTGCCTTTTCTCTCAAGCTTTTTCCCCCTTTCTTATTTAACTCATCTTTTAAAGAATCAATAATCCATCTAGGCTTCATTTTGATTTCCATTTCTGTCAAGGATCAAAAGCAACAACACACCCTTCTTTTCATAACAAAAATCAAGAAATCTTGAAGAAATTACAGAGGATGGATATGATGATGTATTACCCACTTGGGAGGTGTTCTTATGAAGATTCTTTGAAGGTTATTGAAGCCGATATACAACATGCTAATGCTTTGTAAGTCGACCTTTGCCTCTATTTCATTCTGGGTTTCTTTAACGTTTCTGTGTGTTTTTAGGTAATCAATCGTATTGGGTTTATGGTTATGGGGTTGGTTTTATGTTCGATTCTTTAGGTTTTAGCATCAATTAAAGATTGAAAGTTTGCTACTGTTTGCGTAGGTTTAGGGGAACTGAAAAGCACCAAAAAATTTCATGTGATTCTTGAAATTTATAGTTTCTGAAGGTGGAATCTTTGATGAATCTCGGAGGAAAAGATGATCAAATACATGGATTTTTTTGTGGGTTTATTGTTCATTTGGGATTTTTGGGGGAAATTTTGGTTCAAGATTGTTGGTTGACTATAAAAGATTGCTTTTCAGCTACTGAAGAACATGAATTTTGGGGGAAATGAAGTTGTGTGTTCAAACCTGCTACTTTTTAATTTCAAAATTCACATGAATTTTAGGTTTTCAATCTTCCAATTAAATTCTATTGAGATTTTGATTGGTTGGAAGTTGGAAGTTGAAGATCTTCTCACTTGAAAGAATATAATTATTGTCAATTTTCATGTTAAAATCTAACTTGTTTGACCCATTAAAAGTCAAACTAGACTTATTTTGTGATGGTGGTAGTAGTATAATATGAACAATGACTTGATATATACAGAAAAAATAGGATATTTTTTCCTTTTTGTGACGAGGGTAACTTATATCGATCATTGGATTTCTAATACGATTACTAGAATTGGAATATGAGCATTTGAATTCCGAGACCATGCTCTCAAACGTAGAACTTAAGTTGATTTGGGAAAATATACCCATGAAACTTTGAAGTTTTGTTAGTGGCATTGAATTTAGAACGAGAAAAGATACGTTTCTTATTACATGTTTCTGAATCTTTTTCGTTGACTCGTGAATTTGCAGGGCTGCTGCAATTCCTAGAGCCAAAGATGGTGCGAGATTTCAAATGAAATTAGTTCACGATCAGTTGACGCCTCTCATTATGTTCTTGCTACAATGGATAGATTCTTCTTGCACATGTCTCTTGCCGAGATATTTGAATCTTTTCCATGTTATTGTCTATAAGGTTAGTTATTTGATCTTGCTCATCCACGAGTTTGTACTCACATTTCATTATCACATTTCCATTTGCCCGAAGAAAATAAAGATGGGAGATGGACGGAAAGGGCAGGTTTAAATGAGAACTGTAAATATTTTGAAAACCCTGGAACCAACTATTCATGCTTTATTCATTATGAATGTGGTGATAGATATTTATGTTGAAAATAGATGATATTCATGATGAATATGCATAGTATTCACAGTGAAAAGGGATAATATCATGAATAGTGAAAATGCATGACATCAGGGTTATCAGTAATACAAGAAATAGTTGTATGATATTATGTAGAGTGAAAATGCATCATATTAAGGATTATTTAGGGTTATTCATAATGAATAATGCATTGAAATAGTTGGTTTTGAGGTTCTCAAGTTCTTATTTGAACTTTCCTCACGGAGGAAACATGTTAAATGAATTAGAGTATAATTTGCTGTCCATAAGTAGTTCATCATATAAGTAAATATCTTTATTCACAGGTATACACCGATGGGAGACCAAAGATTTCTAGACATGGAAGGAAGGCAACCGTTGGTGACTTTTATGGTTAGTCATTCACTCGTTATATCATAATCGTCTTTTAAATTGTCGAAATGCCGTGAATCTGACCCAAATCAATCTATACAGCCGTCATACTGCCATCTCTTAGAAGGCTACATTACGATCTGGTGGAGCTCGATGATGTTGCTAAAGTTGGAAGCTTGGAATTGAAGATATCTGGCCAAAGAAACCTAGAAAAAGATGACGGGTTCACTAATGTCGATTTGGAAAGAGAAGATGAATGCGGGATTTGCTTAGAACCTTGCTCCAAGATAGTCTTGCCGAATTGCTGCCATGCCATGTGCATCAACTGTTACCGTGATTGGTAATACACTGAACAACACTGCAACAAAAACCGGCTTTATAGGACGCCAAATATGTCTTAAATGTCCTAATAGACAACTTTATAGGACCAAACAATTGTGCGTTCTATATAAAGGTGTTACCCCTCTCAAATATATATATATATATATATATATATATATATATATACACACACACACATATATAGGGTCAGGTTCTAGGAAAACCACAAAAAATTAAGAACTGGGGAACATCCTTGTAAACATTCATATGTCCGGTATGCACATGTGCATAGAAATTTGTAAGCAATTTGTCCGTTATGCACACGTGCATAAAAACCAAGAAACAACTTCAATTACTTGTATGTACGTGTGCATACCGTCCCAGATAAATGGTTACTAGGGTGTTCCTTAGTTTTTCATTTTTTTTTTGGGGGTTTTCCGCTGAACGTCGATAAAGCACCCTATTAGAACATTTAGACATATTTGGGGTTCTGTAAAGCAACCTATTAGAACATTTAGACATATTTGGGATTCTGTAAAGCAGTCTATTAGAACATTTAGACATGTTTGGGGTCCTATAAAGCTGATTTTGCTGTAATGCAAGAAAGCAATTTGGATTTTTCTAGGATGTAGCGCCTCATGATACTAATCTTGCATCGTTTTCTTGAATTTGCAGGAACTCAAGATCAGCATCATGTCCGTTTTGCCGGGGTAACATAAAGAGAGTGAAGTCTCGAGATTTATGGGTTCTCACGTGCAACGATGAAGTAATTGATGCCGATCTTGTTTCCAAGGAGGATCTGGTGCGTTTCTATCTATACATCAATAATCTCCCTAAAGATTCACCGGATGCCCTTTTCTTCATGTTCTACGAGTATCTAATATAAGTTTGGTTGCTGGATACGGGACCCTCGTAGTAGGCTGGACTGCGATGATGAAATTAGAGAAGAATTTATTGTATAGAAACAAAAAAGCCGACCCTTAGAAATGTAAATAGAGTCCGGTTGTAAGTATATTTTCGTTAAAATTGTTACATGATAATAAATAAATACACATTTCCCTTGTATTACGTGTCCAAATTTCTAACTATGTACGAGAAAAACCCCAAAAAAATAAAAAATTGAGGAAGGTAATCATTCATTTGGACGGTATATACATGTGCATATAAGTAATTGAAGATGTTTCTTGATTTTTATGCACATGTGGATGTGGAGAAATTGCTTGCAAATTACTTGTATCCACATGTGCATATCGTCTAGATGAACGGTTATCGGAATGCTCATTAGTTTTTCATTTTTTTGCGGTTTTCTCCTGAACCTGATCTGTATTGTTATCTTACTAACTATATATTATACTATACATATTTCACTGTACAACTATCTAAACCCTCGGAATTTTACAATTCGGGGTGCATAATCCTGTTAAATCATGAACCGGGGTTCATGAGGTGGTTTTCGTGGTGGTCTCCGTCACAACGATGGTGGTCTTTTTCACGACTTGTTCAAACGATGGCTGACAATACCCTTGATTTAGTAAAAGATCGGTTACTTGAAGGTTCATAGCCTCGGTGGTATGAATTCCGTCCCAATTGATGTATTTGCTCGGATCATTGCATACGGAAGTACCCGAAGAACCGCACAGTGATTGAAGATTGAAATTCAAGTTGCCTGATTTGCCGCTAGCAGCTCCACAACAAGTTTTATGAACCTCTTGAAATTGGTATTTCTGTGGGTTGTCTACGATTGCGTAATATGCGTTCCAATAATCTGCGTATATGATGTTCGTATCTGGGAATAACTTTCGGTAAAGGTTCAATTTGTGTTTCAGGATATCGTTGTGGATGATTATCCCTCCGTTTATGATCGTGGAACAACCGATTTTATCGAGTTGTCTCAAGGGACATATCGAGGCGTCGATTGGAAGACATCCGACCGGTGGTAAGCCTTGAACGACTATGTTCTTTGCTCCGGCTCGTATTAGTGTCTGTTTCACGATACATGTTAGTCATGTATTTAACAGCGGTGGAAAAAAAATGAAAAAAAATGGAAACATCTGCACTACTTTTTTAGAGTAGAGGTCAGATCTGCAGTCATCTTATTATCCTCCCTGGACCTCACTTTCGGGTGGGAAATACCGGAAGCAATTGTTTTACTCTTTGTGAGCATTTCCAACCGCTATGTTATAATGGGGATGGGGAAAAGAGGAATCTTAGTAAAAAAATTGATCCAACAACTGTCATCTTGTATGATAAAATAGAGAAAAGAGTAAAAAATCTTTAATTTTAGAGAAATCTCTAATAGAAAGATAAATATTTATAATTCTCTAAACAATTTTTGAAACATAAAAAATCGTTGGGACATGATTTTACATAAAAAAATTGTTGGGACATACCATTTTACATCTTAGGTACCAAAATGAAAGTTATGAAAGTACGTTATATAAAATAGGAATAAGTTAAAATATATTAATTTTTCATGCAATTTGCCCTAAAATTTATTACTCCCTCCCTCTCATGTCCACAATTGAAACGACACATTTTTAGACATGTATAATTATTACATTTTTTTGTTAAACAAAATGACTTCTTTAACCTTATTTCACCTCTCTATTTTTACAACTCTTATATATATCTCCATTAATTAAGGGAGAAAATTGATAATTTGGTCATTTACTTTTGAAAGTAGACACTTATTTTGAGTGGAGAGAGCATAAAAAATATCATGTTATAAAAAGTTTTTTGAAAATGACCATTTCAAGTGAAATTTGTTTAAAAGTTAGTTTGATTGTTTGAGAGTTTGTCTAAAAGTTGTTGGATATTAAATGTATTGAATATTTTAATAAAGAAAAATTGCATCAAAATGAAACCAATTTTCACTTGATTCATATTTTGGGAAATCAACTTTTAAAATCGTCATTTTGGGGAACCAACTTGTACCTGATTCCTATTTTCGGAAACCAACTTGCAAAATAATTATAGAAAAATAACTAAAATTCGTTTTTTTTTTCAAAAATTAATGCAATAAAATYTATTTTTCATTTCAAATCTCGTTTTTTTTAAATTCAGATATCAAATTGAAGATTTTTTCGAAAAAAATACAAATTACCACGATAAAAATTGTTTTTCATTAATGCAATAAAAAATCAATTTAATAGAAAAAAATTAATTGATGCAATAAAAAATAAATATTAAATATCACATTCAAGATTTTTATATCTAACTAATCTGTGTCAATATTAAAGTTTAAATCAAATTTGGCAAATCCAACCAAAAGTTTGATAGAGATCCTTAAATTACCTGTTACCTGATTAACCAGACCCTTAAATAAACAAAAAGTTTGATAGAGACCTCTAAATGACGATTTTAAAAGTTGGTTCCCCAAAATAGGAATAAAGTGAAAGTTGGCTCCATTTTGGTGTAATTTTCCCATTTTTTTTCTACAATTATTTTGCAAGTTGGTTCCCCAAAATAGGAATCAGGTGCAAGTTGGTTCCCCAAAATGACGATTTTGAAAGTTGGTTCCCCAAAATAGGAATCAGGTGCAAGTTGGTTCCCCAAAATGACGATTTTGAAAGTTGGTTCTTTAAAATAGGAATCATGTGAGAGTTGGTTCCCCAAAATGACGATTTTGAAAGTTGGTTCATCAAAATAAGAATCAGGTGAAAGTTGGTTCCATTTTGATGCAATTTTCCCTTTTAATAACATAATTAATATTAGAGTTACTAAAATACAGTAATTGTTGGAGTTGAATGCAATTTTTTTTAGAGATTGACTTTTAATACTCTATTTTAAATAAATTTTACCATAGTTGTTGAAGATGTTTTAAAAAAGAGGTTAGATATGTATTTTATCCGGACCCCAGTTATATGTGGGTTATATAGGAATCATTTTGTTTGATTTAGGAAAAAGCTAGAATACGTACCCGCAAAATTTGAATGGTATACCCGACCGATGACTTGGCTATGTTACTAAGCGAAAGTGTTGATCCGGCTGCACGTGAATAGTCGGTGATTCCGATGTCCCCGATCCAAAACAACGAAGTGCTGAGTTTGTTAGCGCATGCTTTCGGGTCGAGTCCCATACATATATGAGATCTTTGGTACTTTTGGAACCAATCGATTTGAGTCCATACACCTAGGAGCGAGCCTTTCCAAAGAAAATGTCGAACGATTTTAGATATCATGTCACCGGCTAGAGACGTGGAACCGGCAACGGCGAAGTTCACACCATTGGTGAAGTTAGAGGAGGTTGATTGGTATGGGGGTAAGGTCGGTAAGCCTAGGGAGTCGGTCACGAAATCGAGAACTAGACGACCATCGCATAACCGGTTGGAGGTCTTGCCGAATGTGGTGGAACCATAGGGTGAGCTCAACGAACCCGAGAACGACAAAGTGAGACCACCCATGTATTGGGCGTTTCCCGTGTCTGTGTACGAGTCTCCGAAAGCATAGACGGCGGTGAAATGGCCTTTGTAGCGATCTTGGAATGGGCAGGGTTTTTGTGGCGGTTCCTCCGGTGGAGGTTTTTGCTTTGGATCCACCGGTGGAGGTTTTGGGTTCGGGTCCACCGGTGGAGGTTTTGGGTTTGGGTCCACCGGTGGTGAGTTTGGGTTCGGGTTCGTCGGTGGAGGCTTCTGGTTCGGTTCTGTTGGTGGAGGTTTTTGGTTTGGTTCTGTCGGTGGCGGCTTTTGGTCTGGTTTCGTTGGTGGAGGCTTTTGGTTCGGTTCTGTCGGTGGGGGCTTTTGGTCCGGCTCCGTTGGCGGGGGCTTTTGGTTCGGATCCTGCGGTGGGGGAGTCTTTTTCTTGGGGTCCTGTGGTGGTGGAGACTTTTTCTTTGGGTCCTCTGGTGGTGGAGGGTTTTGGTTGGGGTCGACCGGTGGCGTCTTTGGGTTGGGGTCGACCGGTGGAGTCTTGGGGTTCGGGTCAACCGGTGGCGTCTTTGGGTTGGGGTCGACCGGTGGAGTCTTGGGGTTGGGGTCGACCGGTGGAGTCTTTGGGTTGGGGTCGACCGGTGGAGTCTTGGGGTTGGGGTCGACCGGTGGAGTCTTTGGGTTGGGGTCGACCGGTGGAGTCTTGGGGTTCGGGTCGACCGGTGGAGTCTTTGGTTTGGGGTCGACCGGTGGAGGTTTTTGGTTGGGGTCGACCGGTGGAGGTTTTTGGTTGGGGTCGACCGGTGGAGTCTGTGGGTTCGGGTCTACCGGTGGAGTCTGTGGGTTCGGGTCGATTGGCGGAATGTCTGACGGGGGCGGTTGCGGTTTGGGTTTGTTATGTGGTGTTCGGTGTGCAAATGTGGGAGATGGAATTAAGAAGAGAACAAGAGCAAGAAGAGGGAGAGATAGAAATCTAGCATTCATTGTTCTTTGAGTTATGGTTTAGAATTGAAATCCAAACCTTCAAAAATTTGGTTTTGTGGATCTTGAGATGTCGTTAGGTTTTATAGCCGTTTGTTTCCTAGGTTTAAGGAAAGACGAAAAGTCAAAATCGGTTTGAAAATGGTTGATTATTAACGATTAGATTTTTGAGAAATATGTGGCGGATGAATCCAATCTATTTTCCTTATTTTTAGGAAGGATTCACATGTGATTGTGAAAACAAAATTTGATATTGTGAACCGAATAAATATGAAGAAAATATGTTAAGTAATACATTCAATATTATACTTGGGGAAAAGAAAAGACCATCTATAATAAAACCTTAAGGTAGAAGTTCTTACGTATGTAAGTTTTTGGAGTTTTAAGATGATTAAAGTCCATTTATTTATAAAGCAATACACGGTGGATTGATCTGGTGCATCTTGTAGTGTTGATTTTCAATAATAAGTGATTCAAAGGTTGAAATCTCTTCTCACCTTTTTGACCAAATTTTCCATTCTTACCGGAACTCAACTTAGCAAAACAACTTGCCAAACAAAATATTAATTATTTCAACTATTAATGTGATTACATAGATCTTGTTTGTTTGTTTTTTTAAAAGAACTCTTTCAACCTCTTATATCTGATTCGTTAAGAGGTAGGGTCATTCAGACCAGTGATGCCAAAAATCGGTCCCAGGCTGGGCCTAATCGGTCTCAAGCTTTCTCATAACCGGCCATAACCGGTCTTTGTCGAAAATGGTAGGACCGGTCAAGGTACTTCATAACTGGTTATGGGCCGTTGGTCCCAACATTAAAAAATAAGATTTTTAAAAAAGATTTCAACGATATATATTTTTAATACATTATAAAATTTACAATTGGGTCACTCAAAAACACTTTAAAAATGCATTTTAATATAATTAAAATTACATTGTCTTATAAAAATACATTCATTTATAAAATTATTTAAAAATACATTCATTTATAAAATTATTTAAATTTTCGGGCCGGGCCGGGTCGGTCCATAGCCGGTCCCACAAAACTACCAAAAACCCCAACTGGTCCCGGTTTTCGTTCTTAAAACCGGTCCCGGGACGAGCCAGGCCGATTTGGCCATCACTAATTCAGACTGTTTGTTTTTTTCGATTTTTCAGAAACACTTATGTCTTATTCTTCTCTTATCTAGTAAGAGGTAAATCAACCTCTTGTTTGCCTCTTATTGTTCTCCGAGCACTTAGCAATGACGTTTCTTAAATCGATTAAACTTAATATGATTTAAATATGTTAAATACTGTTAATATTTTTGTTTAAATGAATGCTAATTATAACTTATATGTAAAATTCGTAATGATAATGAATAAATACGTGAAATTGTATAAATTTATCTATAAATTCAACGCTATAATTTTCTAATGGAAAAAATAGACGATTTAAACAAATTCAGATATTTATCAGTTTATAAAAACAAACAGTCTTATTTATTTAGATTTATGATTTCAGCACCACATATTATTAATCAAAAGTGAAATAAGATTTCAACACCTTTTAAAAAACAAACATTATCGTAGTTTTTATTTGGTTTATGTGTAATTTATCTTTTAAGTGATTTACAAATTTGGCCATAGTGTCTTGATTGAAATTACGTGAATGTCCTGCACTATGTTTATAATGGATTTAGTTATGATAGTATGCTATTTGTTACGATCATTATCCCTTTAATTAGTACTATTAAAATTTTCTGTTAATCGAGGGTATGTTTGTCTTTTTTATTTAATAAAACAAATTAACGCTTTTGCTTATATGCTGACATGTGTCCCTTCCCCTCGCCCTTTTCTCTTCATGACCACTTCCCACTTGCCATAATTTCGACAATCATCCGATTTCTTTAAGATGTCGTTTGGTTTGTAGGAATAAAATAGATTTGAGAGGATTTAGATTTCAAATCCATTAAAATCTCATGTTTGGTTTTTTGAATTTGAAATTCTTGTTCGTTAATAATGTTGAATGAGATTCATTATTCATAATGAATTAGAAAATTATATATACATACATACATATATATATATATATATATTTGAACACATGGAACGTTTTCATTTGTTTCCTATTTCGTTACAGAGAACACTTTTACAACTGACACTTTTCTCTCTCTCTTTAATTAATAAATCATACCAAGAGAAAATTAGAAAAAGACATTTTTGTCCATCACTTAACCATTACTTAACGGTCAAAACATGGACGGTGTTAGTCAAAGGGGTAGTAGGCCGTAACAAATTTAATATTACAAAGACAAAATCCATAATAAACGTAATATAGGGACTACTTATAACTTTAACCAAAACACAGGGACCAAATCTGTAATTCATTCTATCCGTTTATAAGTTCTCGGTTCCACGACGTCGTATTGGGCGAGTTTTCACTTAGCGGGTAACTATCGTATAGTGCAAATTGCGAAACGCTAAAACCAAAATCTACCGTCTCCGACGCCAGATCAACAACCAGAGCCCCCCCAACATTCACCATTTTTAAGATCTTATGCTTCAAACCGAATTCAACTATAGTCGCATCCTTTCTTAAATCTAAGGTAACTCCTTGACCTAATTGTTTCTAGGTCTAATCATGGATTTTGAATTCAAAATCGTGGAAGATTTTATTTCAATGCGGTAAGTTTCGTATTTGCAGATCTGATCGGTTTATATTATGATCCACAGAAATGGAAGAGGATAACGATTTGGAGCAGGTTACGGGGAGTCCAACAGCTGGAGAGAACGGATTTGTTCATATAGAGTCAGCTGATTCTGCTCCGACGGACGGTGGCTCAATTAATCAGGTGACTCTAGTGTTTGTTTAGTTACATCTTGGTTTCAATTATCAACGACTGAATATTTTTGATTTTAAGGTAAATTTTATTATAGTATGAATGTATGATGCTCTGTCTGTTAAAAAGATTAGGGTAAAAAAGAGGCATACTATGGTTTTTTGATGTTTAACGGGCAAGTTTTCAACTTCAAATTGTCACAATTCGAAAGCTGGTCATGGAAATATTGACAATTTCATTAAAATTAGTACTAGTGACGCAAATGTAAGGTTATACATTCACAGGGTTGTAAATATTTGATCCTTTATGATGATATCCGTTGAATTATTTCTCACTACAGTTTTTTGTTGCCAAGTTGTAACAAATTAATGCTTCACCTTTTCTTCAATTGGTATATATGTTGTACTCTGGTGCTATATTTGTGTTGATGAGATAAATCAGCAAGCTATCTTCAGGTTGACCATCTCGAGCAGGACGATGGGGTGGTGATAACAGGAGTAGATACTGTACAGTATGAGCGACATGATGCAAGGACGACTGAAGATGGGGGACACGATGAGTTTGTGGATTGTCCAGATGACTTGGTTTCTAATGATGTGAGGTCCCCTGTTGGTGGAAATAGGGCTAGCCAACAGCCATTTGGGAACGATATGGAAGATATTCAATATAGGGCGCCTGACGATGAAAAAGAAATCTTTCCACAGGACTACGAGGTCGTCTATCACCTTCTCTCTTCCTTCTTGTTCTCATTCCAAGGTCTTTTTGTACCATAAGTATGCTGCAGTTGTGCTAACTTTGCTTCTCTTGCAGCAAGAACGAAGGATGCTGATGAAAGAAGTTACTAATCTTCATCATCAGCTCAAGGCTCTAAGCAAGCAACAGTTGCTGATTGGTGGAATTGATGCTGGTTTTTCTAGTGATCAGCTTACATCGGAAACAGGAGAGGGTGGCGAAAAGGCTTTGTTGCCTTTGCATGAGATGGTAAATGAGTGCTTTAAGTTAATTGAACTTGCTTTGAATGAGCGATCACAGGCCGAGGGCACAATCAGAGAACTCAATGCCACCCTACATATGAAGGATAAAGAAATTGAGGATCTTATGGCGAGGCTCAATGAACACTCTATATCACAGGATGTAGTAGCTAAGTCTGATGAAGTGTCATCTGTTGAGGCCACTGCAGATAGGATTTTATTTTCTCTTGCAACTGCCCTTGGTGATGCAGAATTGTCTGATACATCTGTTAGTGGGAAGGTGTCTCATCTTGAGAAAAGTACCTCCCTCTTACTTGAGAAGTACCACTACTTCCTTTCAGAAGTTGAAATGCTTAGCCATTGTTTGTCAGAGGTTAAGTCTGATTTTTATATGCAAAATGACATGGAAACGGTTTTTCTCTCTGTACGGGAGGAGTTGTTTGCACTAAAAAGAAAAGAACTTGAGTTGGCCAACAAAAATAGCCATTTAGAATATCAGCATGGACAGCTGATGGAACAACTTAACAAAGGCAGAGAAACAGTTGAGTTGCTAAATGCAGAGATCGGAAAACTTAAAGGGGAAGTTGAACAGGAGAGAACGAGGTATACTAATACTAAAGAAAAGCTCAGCTTGGCTGTCACAAAAGGGAAGGCTCTGGTCCAGCAGCGTGACTCATTGAAGCAGTTGGTTGCTGAGAAAACCAGTGAACTAGAAAGACGTTTAATCGAATTGCAAGAGAAGTCAAGTGCCCTAGAGCATGCTGGGTTGAGGAATGATGAGTTGACGAGGACTGAAAATTTGGTTAATTCGCTGCAAGAAGCTCTTTCGCAAAGGGACATGATCCTTCAAAAATGTGGAGAAATTCTTTCGCTAAGTGGTGCTGCTGGGGAACTTCAGCCTTCAGATATCATTGAGAGGGTTGCATGGCTTGCAAATGAAGTAAGTAGACTAGCACCCCTGTCTTGGGAATTTCAGCGACTTACTGAATTGTTATCGTCCCTAGAGTTGCCGGAAGCCAGGCAACCTCCCAACTTAGAATCTCAAGTTAGCTGGCTATTGGAATCATATAATCTGGGAAAAAATCATTATATTAAGCTACAACATCAAAATGATGCAACAAGAGAGGCTGCTCATGCACAGATTGATCGCCTAACTGCATCACTGTTAGCAGAAGCGCTGGAGAAGCACTTTTTTATAGAGGAGTTTGAGGATTTGAAATACAAGTATGAAGGAATTGTTGGGGAGAAAAAGCAGATGGTTGCTCTGTTGCTTGATGCGTCTGGGTTCTCTATAGATGGTTTTGAGGAGAACTTTAATCTACAGTCTGATATGGCTGTGGTGATTGGCAGATGCTTTTCGAAGATAAAAGAACAAGCCATAACTTCTACTGACTCATCGTCCATGGACAAAGAAGTGCTTGAAAAGATTCAAAATCTGTTGTATGTAAGGGATCAGGAATCTAAGCTGTATGAGCAAATTCTTGAGGAAGAGAAGATGTATAGATTGGAGCGGGATAATCGCTCAAATGAGTTGGTAAAGGTTTTTGAAGAATTACGTGCATCAAAAGATGAGAAGAACTCTCTGCAAATAAATCTTCAACGAGCCGAGGAGAAAGCTTCTTTATTGAGAGAGAAACTGTCTTTGGCAGTTAAGAAAGGCAAGGGTCTTGTTCAAGAACGTGAAAGTATGAAACAGCTAATGGCCGAAAAGAATGCTCAGATTGAGGCGTTAATGCTTGACTCGCAGAAGCAAGAATCAACATTGAGTGAGTGCAGGGATCAGATTAATATACTGTCAACTGAAGTGAAAAAAATTGCAAAGTTGGAATCTGATCTCTTACGTTCAAAAGAAGAAAGGGATCAAATTGAGCAGTTCTTAGTTCAGAGCAACACCTTGTTGCAACAGGTAATTGAGACAATTGATGGTATTATTCTTCCAGTAGATCTAAAAGAGCCAGTTGAGAAGGTGAAGTGGTTGGCAACATATTTAAGTGAATGCCAAGTTGCCAAGGCACAGGCAGAGCAGGAGCTAGGAGATGTAAAAGATGAAGCTGGTATGCTGGCCAGCAAGTTAACTGAAGCCCTAGCAACCATTAAATCCCTTGAAGATGCATTATCAGTTTCAGAGAAAAATGTTTCTCAGTTAGCTGAAGAAAAGAGAGAATTAGAATTTTCAAAGACTTGTATGGGAGAGGAACTACAGAAAGCAATAGATGAACGGGAAGTTTCAAAGACACAGGCAGAACAAGAAATGCAAATCTTAAAAGAGGAAGTCAGTACATTGAACAAGAAGTTGGTGGAAGCCCTGAAAACCTTGAAATCACTGGAAGATTCACTGTCAGGTTCAGAAAAAACTATCAGTCAACTAACTGAAGAGAAGAGAGAACTAGAGATTGCCAAGTCTCGTGTTGAAGAGGAATTATATAAAGCAATGGAGGAAGCAACTTCTCAATCAAGCAAGTTTCAAGAGGCCTCTGCCAATAAAAAGTCGCTTGAAGAGGCATTGTCGCTTGCAAAAAACAACATATCCGTGCTCTTGAGTGAACAAGAAGAGGCTCAAGCTAGCAAAGCTGCTGCTGAAATGGAGCTACAGAAAGTTAAGTTGGAAGTTTCTGCTCATGCCATTAATCTAGATGAAGCTCACCAGACTATAAAGTCCCTTGAAGATGCAATGTCTCAGATAAATACAAATGTTTCTCAGTCTTCACAGGAAAATGAGACACTAACTAGTAGAAATGTATTAGAGAGTGAGATAAAGAAACTCAAAGAAGAGGCCAAGTACCATGAGCGCAAGGTTGTGGATGCATCTGCAACTATTAAAACACTAGAGGATGCATTGCTTAAGGTAGAGAACACTGTTTTCGATCTTGTTGGGGAAAAGAAGAATGCTGAACTGGAGATTTCAGCCCTCAATACCGAGCTGAGTACATGTAGGCAAGAGTTGGCAGCCAAACATGATAAATGGGCTTCGGAGCTCTCCAGTTTCTTTGGAAATCTTGAAGTGCTGTTGAAAGATGGATCTCTATTGTCCTTGTTCAAGCAAAGTTTTGAGAGAAAAATCAAAAGCTTAAAAGAAATAGACCGGCTTCTAAATGAAATGAAGGATAATTTTGATTCAGAAAAGCTGCAAGATCATCCTGCTATCAAGGTGACATAATCAGTTCTCGAACATAAGTGATTCTCCTTTCTCCTTTTATTTGGTGAATGTTTGTTTGTTGACACCTTCTATATCATCAATCTCAATTGTTTATTTCTCTTCATTTTCTCATCTTCTGAGGTCAATGACTTTGATTTTATATTTGTGTGTAACATATTGAATAATTGCCGACAAACATTTATGTAATTACAAAACTATATATGATCTTTTGTCACTTCAGGCATTCTCTTATTTTAAGAGTGGGTAAAAAATAATGGTTTTCTACATATATTTTGAAGTTACTGTCCATGCTAATGTGTATTTTAGTTTTTCTGACTAAAATTATGGCGTCCAGTAACAAGGAGTAGTAATTTTACGTTGTCATTGTCTTATAATGGCTATTTCAATTTGGCAATTAAATGCGTTAATTGAAATTTGGTAGACATTTGTGCTAATTTTCAGAAAGAAAACCCAACCGCATCTGTTGGTAGCTGTATTATTGATGCATATTTTAGTTCTTCTTATTTTCATTTAGCCATTGCTCTTGGTTTATATGCCAACAATTTCAGATTCGCATAAGTTGAATTTGACTTTCATGCCCGCCTTCTTATCTCACTTATGATTTACAGGAAAATTTCCAGTCAACTTTCCTCCCTGCTGATGACAATGATTGGACCACTGGGATGATTGATGATGAGTTTAATGCAAAAGATATTGATGGTTTTGGTTCATATGCTGGAAAAACTTTGGATAACTTGAATACTAGAAACCAAATTCTTGTTGACCAATTTGGCAGTTTCTCAACAGTCATTGATGACATGATTGCATCTTTGTTGATAAAACTAGAGGCAATAAGGAATACTGTGCCATTTATGGTTCAACAAACAAAAGCCCTGCAAGAAAAATTGAAAAGCATGCAGTTGGACATGTCCACCACAATTGAAGAATTGAAGGGTGAATTAGAGAAATCCAAGTCATTGAATGATATAGCCGAAGAAGAAAATGATGCATTACAAAGGCGAGTTTTTGAATTGGAGACTGAACTAGAAGCATCTGGAAATATGTGTAATGAAATGAGCTTTAAATTAGAAGATTATCAAGCAAAAGAGGACAAGTGGAAAGAAAGAGAAGCGGAGTTGTCTGTGCAAAGTACTAGGTTCCAAGAAAGAGTTTTTAAGTTGGAGACTGAACTCAAGGAATCTGTTAAAGATTATGGTATACTTTTGTTTCTATTGATGATCGTCCATTTGATTATTATCTGTAGTGATCAAGGTTGTATATTCATATCATTCATTATGATCTACCGTATTTCTAACTTTCATACATTTTCGTTGTTTTTCAGAGGGCGATGCACCAAATGCTCTTTTATCAGCTTCACAGATAAAAGCCCTGTTTGATAAGATAGATGGGATTGCAATCCCTTTCCCAAATCTTGTAGTGGGGAACATACACCCCCAAGATTCAGACCCTGTTAAAAAGCTCTTTTATATAGTTGATAGTGTAAATGAATTGCTAGACCAGATGACCTTGTTGTCTCATGCCAAAGAAGAGCTGCGCTCGACCCTTTCAAAACAAGCCCTTGAAGTTGAGCATTTGAAGGGGGAATTCAAAGAAGCCATGAAGGACAAGCAAGAGGCTGAAAAGACGGGGAGGGTATTGTTTGATTTATCTATAGGGTTGCAGAGCATTATTCAAAAGTTGGGAGGTGATGAGTCTGTTGGAGTCAAGAAATCTGCTGATGTGGCAGGACTGCTCCCAGTACTAGAGAGGCTTGTTCAGGGCATTGTTTTGGATAGTGACAATTCAAGATCCAAAGCTCAAGATCTAAGTGCCAAATTGCTGGAGACCCAGAAGGTAGCTGAGGAATTAGCAAGCAAGGTTAAACTACTTGAAGATTTTATTCAAAATAGGACAGGTGCACCAAACACGATACAGGAAAAAAGTGTTTTTGCGTCACCTTCCTTGCCTTCTAAATCGGAAATTTCAGAAATTGAAGATCAGGTATGTTTATTGCATCTATATTTTTTTCATGTCTGATGGCATTGTTTATTGCTTTCATAATATGGCATTGTCTATTGCTTTCATAATATGGCATTGTCTATTGCTTTCATAATATGGCATTATTGTTGTGATAAAAAAGATTCAAGTTATATGCAATTTGGGTCTCCAGGAATTAGGGGCTGTTTGGTTGGCTTTCCATCAAGTCTTGTATGGATAAAGTTGAAAGTTGTCTGTGTGGATTAATTTGTCTGTATAGATTGGGAAGGTTTTTTCATAGAATGGAAGGAGCATTTTTTTTTTAATTGGGAGGGGCAAATTTCGAAAAAAACCTAGCTTTCTGCATAAGCCACTTTATGTATCATTAAGCCACTATCAAACAGTCATGTATAGCTTACCGAGCAAGCTGTGAGTCCCATTAAGCTGCTAACAAACATGCTCTAAGACTAGTACACTGCTCTCATGCTGTGTTCTCTTCATTACCAACACTCTGGACTATACAATTGTTTGCTTATGTGTATTCATGTCTTCTATTCTCAATCTTTTTACATGTTTTTCTTCCAAACTACAGAAGCCCAAAATTTTAAGCCAATGACAATTAACTAAAGACGAACGATTGTGTGAGAATAGGAGTTAAGGTGAGAAGCATAAGAAGGGATATGGACCGTTGATCACATTTAATCTTTCCCCACCCCATGAATTGCCTTCTCATGGGAATTGATCTGGTGCATCTCATTAGTGTTGATCCAGGGGTGGAGATCCCTTCTCACCTTAACCTCCATTCTCACGGAACCCAACCCATGAACTAAAACTAACCTAACCTTTTTTTTAATATCTGTTTAAGACCCCTTGAGATGGAGGGGAATGAGCATAACACAGATATCTTACAGTTTTTTACTTATATTATTTTAATCTTTAATGTTTTTCTTACAGGTTCCAGTTGGGAAAATAGGCTTGCCTTTGGTGCCATCTGCTCCCCATGTGAGATCTTTACGAAAGAATTCAAGTGATCAGCTTGCAATTACCATTGATTCAGAGTCCGACCGTTTGCTTGGTAGAAAGGAAACTGTTGAAGATAAAGGTTTGGTTCTGAGAACTTTTACCGTTCATTCTCTGTTCAGGTCACATTATTTTGAAAATTGTATTGAACTCTTATGCCTTCAGGTCATGTATTTAAGTCACTCCATACATCGGGTCTAGTCCCAGTCAAAGGGAAGATGATTGCAGATCGACTCGATGGAATATGGTAAATGCTTTAACTGACTTTAGTTTATTATTGAGGCCACACATGAATGAGAATGACACCATATGAACAGAAAATAGGAACATATTTGCATGTTTAATGTAATGCCCCAAGCCTAAAGCAGCAGGCTGGCCAATAACCTCCAAATCAACTTAAAACCATGGTGGAAGTTATTTGGTTATTTGTACCACACAACTTTGAGCTTATAAGAGCATCTTCAACAGGTTCCTTATAATTTCTCTAAAGAGAATCAATAGTCAAAATCTCTAACTAAAATTATATTTCACTCTAACAGGTTCTCTATTTTAGAGATTTCGACATTAATTATATTATTAAAATATTATATAGTTTTTTTAATCTCAATGTACTTTTTTTTTTAAACTTTATTTAAAATAATAATAGTTTCATCTTATTGGTGGAAATGAATTAAAAAATAATTTCTCTTACCTCCCATCAAATTTTAGAGAATTCTCTAAACTTGGATTTTTTTTGGTTTTCTCTATTTTAATGAATTTGTTGGAGCAAATTAGAGAACAAAATCTCTATTTTATCTGTTTTAGCATCTCCATCAGCTTCCCCAAAATGAGTAAAATTGAGATTTTGGGTGTTGTTTTGCTTTATCAGATTCTCCAAAACCTTCTCCAAAATGGAGAAAGTAGGAGATAGAAGGAAATTTTTTTCCAGATATGGAGTATTCCCTAAAAATGATTACTTATGAGAGAGAAATATTATTTTATTGTTCCCATTCAGTAAGAGTCTTTGAAATTAAATGTCTAGGAGAGGGAAACGATATTTTATTAGTTGTATTGAATATTTTAATAATATAAGTGATTTTATAATCTCTAAAATGGAGAATCTGTTGGAGATGAATGTAATACTTTTTGGAGATTCTGGATTTTGACTCCATTTTAGAGAAAATTTTGAGAATCTGTTGGAGATGCTTTAAGCAACACACAAGTCTAATTTTCTATCCATGTCCCAAAATAAGTGTGCATTAGAAATGACACACAGTTTTAGACATGAATAATTATTACACTTTTTAGTTAGTCAGATGACAACTTTACCCTTAATTAATGTATCAATCTTATCAGCTCTTAAATATTTGTACATTAATTAGGGGTATATTTGGAATTGAGTTATTTGTTTTTGAAAGCGAACATGTATTTTGGGGCAAACCTAAATGGAATTGTAGACAAGTATTTTGGAACAGAGGGAGTATCCTAGATTAGAAAGTTACCAAAAAGAGAAACATGTGATGAAACAAAGGGAGTATCACAAATTCACAACTTGAATAGAATAAGGGAAATTGACTGAAATAGCCATTCCCATCAACCAAGTTCACTTTTAGCCACTTTTCAGAGCCTCTTCCTAAAATAGCCGGTCTTTATGCAAATGTTTTAGCATTTGTGTAAAGACTGATTTCTGGAAAGAAAAAAGAAAAAGAAAAAAATTCCTTACGCATATGCGTAAGGATTCTTTGTGCAAAAATTTGAACCCATACGCAAAAATCTGAATCCGTACGCAACTTTTTTTTATTTCAATCTGAAAATCGAGCTTACGCAAATGCACAAGACATTTGCGTAAACTCTAAAATGGAATTCAATTCAAAAAGTGGCTTAAAAGTGAAGTTGGTTGGTGAGATCGGCTTATTTTGGTCAATTTCCCATATAATTATTCACTGTGACCTTCCCATAATCCTCCTTGTTTCTTATTTGTGATTAACCTCTTTTATTGGCACATAGCATTGACCACAAATACTTAGGTGACCGAAAAGAAGTTTTACCAGCATGGCTATTGTTCTTAATGGCGTTTTTTTACTCTTTGCGTCTGTACAGGGTATCTGGTGGTCAAGCTTTGATGCGTCGACCAAGGGCAAGGCTCAGTCTTATAGCTTATTGGCTATTCATACACCTATGGCTTCTGGGCACTATTTTGTGACCATAACAAGGTGGTTCCATCCAGGTAGACCAGAATCGAACCAGCCATAAGTCCCGTGTTCAGCTTGTACCATAGATAGGTAGCGCCTTTTCAACTTATATTTCTTAGGGTTGGGTTCTGGAGAGGATGGAAGTTATGGTGAGAAGGGTGAGAAGGGATCTCCACCCTTGGATCAATCCTAATTGAATCTAGCACTAATATCACCGGATCAATTCCCGTGATAAATGCAATTCATGAGGTGGGGGTGAGATTAAACGTGATCAAGGTCCAGATATCTTCTTATGCTTCTCACCTTAACTTCTATTCTCACACGATCCTTCATATTTTTTTTCTTATTGATATTTTTGAAGAATTTATGTAGATGTACAAATTAATAGTTATTGCTTTTTTTGATTCTCTGCAATCAGATTTTAGGGATTCAGAGAATCCATAACCATAAGCCTACATGGTAATGGATAATGTTCCTTTCCCAACTTGTTTTACATTTAAATGTTGGTTAATGATAAATTATTGAAGTTTTACTTGCTTGGTTTCTCATGAATTCATGATAGAAACATTGTATCTATAGGTACACAAGAAAAGGGCTAGTTGACCGAAGACTTGTACTCGGGCTAGATGGGACCCGCCTAGACAGGTTGGTTGGTCTGGTTTTAGGGCATGCTTCTTAACAGCCTAACGAGTTTAATAAGATTCATAATTTATTCGGTCAATTATACATGGTTGTTTGGTAGTGACTTATGATATAGAAAGTGGCTTATCCGATAAGCTTCTAGTGGGAGCTTTATGTAGAAACAAAGTTTTTTGCTCCGAACCTATCTCCTTCAATTAAAAAACACAAGTCACTGTTTGATACTTGACTTAATGATATAGGAAGTAGCTTATTCAGTAAGCTTTTAAGTGGAGCTTTATGTAGAAAGCCAAGTTTTTTCCGAACCTGCTTCTCCCGGGAAAAAAAAAAAAACACTCCTATATGTGAAAAAACTCTCCCAAATAAACATTTTATCTATTTATAAAGACAAATTAATTCACATAGACTGTTTCATCCATATACGATGTAAAACCAAATCAAACCAAACAACCCCTAACCCTCATTGTCCTGTAAGTCTTCCTTCTTGGACCAAGGACCGGTTAAGTCCAAACGTTCATCTGTAATATGATGACGTTGTTCTATAGGATGGTCTAAAAAAGAGAGAGCTCTATCTTATATTTGACTACATGTGGAACCTGCATACATTGTCGTCTTAGGGCCTCACGGCTTATCTTTCGCAAAATGGTGTGAAAAGTTATTGGAGATTTGTAGTCTCACATCAGCTAGACATCGAATCTTTATATATGTTAGAAGTTTTTTTTATAAGAGATCTTTTAGAGTGATTTAAAGGGATTTCATATATTCTCGCATTATATAAGAGTTGGGTCTAGCAGTCTGCCTAGAGACCTGACAACTGACACATCAACTAGATATGAACTATCAGACCTCTATAATTGTTGGAATATCTCAAGTCTCTTGACCTCTTCTAATGGAACTCGGACCACAAAAGCTCTTTATGTAATAAACGAAGTCAACAAAAGAAAACAAAAAAAAACATAATATTGAAAAAATGTTAGAATTTGTTACGTTGGGTCGAACAATACCAACCGCAAAAAGTTGGTACCAATTAAAATTGATTGATACACTATATAAGATTTTGCATACCAATTATAGTTGATTGGTATATGGTATTTAAGAAAAAAAAAACTTGATACCATACTAAATCCATCTCCACTTTAATGGAAAAGAATTGAAGATAAAGTTGACATGTTTGGCGGATATTGATACATTATAAAATTTTATCAATTTGGCAAATCAACAAAAACATGGAAACAAACTCATAATTAGAATTTTCATTTGAGAAAATCGTATTTCAGTTAGATCTATCGAAGAGTTTCACTGTATCTCTTATACTTTCTCATTTTAAAGAAGGTTTTGAGAAATTTATTGAAACAATTTGTTTTTTTTCATTTGAAGTAGTTGAAATTAAAAAAATTAAAATTTCCATTTTAAATAATCTGTGTAGGAACCCGGCTGTACTGGTTTTAGTCAAGATAGACAATACGACATTGGTTAAACTCGTACCTCGAATATGGCAGTCAAGAGCTGTTGTTGTACTTGTTAGCTTCTTTCATCAAAGCAGAAAACCGAGAACTACGATTTTTGAATTACAGTTACGGATCGAAAGAAGTGATAACGTACCTTTGCAGAGGTGGTTTATATATATATATATAATATTCATTAAAAAAATTGGAAAAAATGTAACGCTCCAAAAATTGGAAAAAATGTAACGTTCCAAAAACTGTTGCGTACGGACTGCAAAGTTCACAAACGGTTTGGTCAAAAGTCAAACTTAAAAGATGGACCAAAGTTGGACTTTTGAATAATAAGTGAATTTAACTTGCCGATTTTCCAATAGTCACATGCTTTTCCGATCAAGTGTGGATTAATTGCAGCTCGCCGGCGGTATTTCGTTCGCCGCCGTAGAAAATGGCCGGTTGTGATGTCATAGGTGGCTGTCCTAGCGATTACGTCGCCCTTTCCGTCGCTATCCTCTCATTCGTCTTGTATGTCTGTTTTCCCCAAATTTGCAAAATCCATACATGAATGTATTTAATTACGCTATTTTGTTTGCTTATTCGGATTAATATTACTTAGCTTATGAGTATCTATAATTAGAAATTCGAACTTTGGATTGTGATTGAACCTTGATTCAGTTCAGAGTTGTATAAGTTCATAATAGAAAGCATTTACGCCTTGAATATGGGATTTAAACCGGTTAATTTCCTCGTATGTTTAAATTTCGAGAAGAAACTTGCTAAACCTTATATAACTTCAGATAAATTAGATTGATGTTGATTTTAGATTGGCTTAAAAGTTCATATCGATTTGCATTTGGAAGGGTGCTAGGTTTAACGTCACAAAAGCTCTTTTCTGCGATGGGATTGACTTGTGAGTATGCATTTCTGAGTGGACGATTGAGGATGGTTTTATGTTTCAAAATCTACCTTTTGATATTTTCTAAGAATTTATTAGTGGTGATTTGATGCTAGAAATGATGGAAATAGAAGAAAAAGCAAATTTGTTTTGCATGCTGATTTATATTTCTATAATAGAAGTGTGTTTCTTTCACTAGAATGAACTAAAGAGGAAACCCCAACAGTTGAATTTGGAACCAAGGATGGGTGGGCAGGTGGCAGTTAACTATAGCTCTTTGAGCTCTGCACAGAAGCAGACTAGAAGAGAAGTATGTTGTTAAATCATCTTTCAGTTGGTGTACAAGAAGAATAAATTGAAATCCACTTTATAGTAGCAAGAGAACTAAACCGGCTTGAATCAATAGTGTGAAGTTAATTGGCATTACACCATCTTTTATTTAACGTTGATCAACATATCTTTAATCAGAATTGTTGCTGCTCATATATGGCACTATGTGTGCATCTGTATGATGAACATAGTTCTTGTCTTGCAGCCTTTTTCTGAGGTCGACTTTACCCTTTTTGATTCACAAGGTTCCTCGACCTAAAGGAAGTAGTTTTTGGATCCCGGCAATTCAAATCATAGCAAGCTTCAATCTTTTGCTGTCACTTGCGGTAAAGCTATTATTCTTTTGAAAACATTTATTTCCCGTTTTCGAATTATCTATCTTATTACTTTGCCTTTCCTTTATTCCCATGTATTGAAGATTTGAAGTTCATTTGCATTGTGTATTAAAGTGCTTTAACCTTCACGCAGATGTCTCTTAATGTTGTGAGGTTTCACAGGAGACACTGGTGGCAATCCTGCTATCTCTGGGGAGGTTAATTTGCTTTTTCTTTGATTACTAAAGTTACACTATATGTTCACTTTTGTAAGATCAACTAATCTTTGCCTTTAGCAATTTCTGGTTTCAGTTTGGGTTAACGGTCCACTAGGATTTGGGTTGCTATTGAGTTGTCGGATTATACAAGCTACCCACTTGTATTCCGTTTTTGTCAAGTAAGTTTTCTATCTTTTCGACCTTGAGAACTGAGGCTGGAGCCACTCAAGGAACTCATACGCCAGAGGAACTGACCACACAGATGAAGAGAAGATAAAAAATCCATATATTGACGCTAACTCTGTTCTCTTCCTTGTGATTTTCAGAAGGCGTCTCTTTCCTATAAGATCGTATATTAGTCTTCCACTTGCTCTTCTGCCCTGGGTTGCCTGGGCTGCACGTAAGATAATTTACTTTGTTCCACTTTGTATTACTTCGTATAGCCTCCAATTTTTCAGTTGCATGAGTTCATTCATCTTACAAGATCTGTAAAACAGTATTATTATTCATATATCGAGTTAATACCATTACTGTATTCTAACTTCTCTTAGAACAGATGTGCATGTGTATCTATTCCTGTCTTTTTCTCAATTACAGTTCTGCTGGCTGTTGATATTAGAGTTTGTTTGCTGTAGTTCTTCACATGGAGCAGCCTCTAAATAATCGCTGCCACATGGGGACTCGATGGGCTGTTCCCTATGTATGCTTCCCTGTGTTCTATATTGCTGCTTTGATTGGTATTACTGGAGCCATTCATCATATTGAGTTCAGATTCGATGAGCTCAAGGACCTTTGGAGGGCAATACTCGTAACTGTATTTTCTATTGGTACGTGTTGAATTTAATTATGCATCTAATTTCTTAAATAATGTTCTTGACTGGCATATGCTTTTACATGTTGAAGTCGTTTTATATGTTCTTTTGAGGTTTGACATAGATAAAAAATTAAGTACCGTTCTGACCTGTTCCAGAAGAGTTCTTGGATATGTTTAATATTAGTACGTCTCGTAGTGTAAATTTACCTAATCTGGATTCTAAATCAGAAGTGTTATTTAATGTTGGTACTTCGTTTCCCAAGATTGCTACAATGCCTTTTTCTATTATCCTCAACTTTTTCATGCTTTTATTAGTCCCTCTCTTAGCACAAAATTCTTTTTCACAATTTTTTCCGCACAAGATGGGGGTCGTTACGGAAACAACCTCGTTACCCCTTAGGGTAGTGGAAAGGTTGCGTATGTCTTACCCTCCCCAAACCCCACTCCACGTGGGATTCACTGGGTTCATTTTATTTGGTTTGATTATAACCTATAGGGTCAGCTTCAGGGAAAACCGTAAAAAAATGAAAAACTGAGGAACACCCCTGGTAACCTTTCATCTGGACGGTATGCATATGTGCATACAAGTAATTTCTATCCAATTTGTCTTGTATGCACATATGCATAACATGCACACGTGCATAAAAACCAAGAAACAACTTCAATTACTTGTATGCACATGTGCATACTGTCCGGATGAATGGTTACCAGGGAGTTTCTCAATTTTTTATTTTTTTGCGGTTTTCCCCTGAACCTGACCCATAACCTATACATTTGTTACAATTTATCTTAATTTCCCATTCTAGGTGTATGGGTGGTTGCTTATGTTTTAAATGAGACACACGAGGAGGTCATGTGGCTTCAAGTCACCACCAGATGTGTGCTTTTAGTTGTGGTATGTTTTAAACCTTTCACTATACTTTCAATAGCAAATCATTGAAGATCTGAGGCCGTGAAAGCATCACCTTTATTTGGAAACCCTTTTTGAGATATTTCTGGATCATTATTCGTAGGCAAGTAGTCTCGTGGTGGCTTTCTTCTCAATTTCGTTCTCTCAACCTCTGGTCTCGGTTATGAGCTTAAACAAGAAAGAAAGTTTCGAATTAAAGACGATGGGTCAAGCTCTTGGAATACCTGATAGTGCGCATTTATCACATAATGATCCAACTCTTGATGTCGATCCAAATGAACCCTTGGATAAACTTCTGTTGAACAAAAGATTCCGCTGTTCCTTCATGGAATTTGCTGACAGGTCTTGTTCTTGTTCTAATCTAGATCAAGTTGTGAACTTGTACAACGGTCCACATAGTTCTTGTCAAATATCGTTACATTTCTCTTTTTTTCGATGATTTTTTTCAGTTGTTTGGCTGGGGAAAGCGTGCATTTTTACAATGAAGTAGAACAACTTGAAAGGATACCCGTAAATGATCCTGTTAAAAGAATTTACATGGCACGGCACATTATCGAGAAGTATATAAACACAGGTATCACATTCAATATCTAATTCGTATTTTTTCAAGCTATCTTTGGCCATATACGGGATGGATTATTAGATAAATGTGTCTGCTATAGAGGAGAACCAAGAAAAGAATATGAACTTTTATTTAGATTAATGTGTCTGCTATCAGAGAAATTGTTGATCATGGATTATTAGTGTAACATCCCCGGTCGACCATACCAGATATTATTGTTTGTTTTATCCACACCTGGACTCATGGTTTTTAAATGTGTTCGATTGTAACATATCAGGCCAAATGTACCAGATATTGTTCGCTTTGTCCACACACCTGACTCACGGTTTAAAACGCGTCTTCTTCCTCTGATACCATTTCTAACACTCCAAAGCCCAAAGCAACAGGCTGGCCAATAACTTCGAATCCAACTTCAAATTCGAATTCAACTTAAAACCATGGTGGAAGTTATTGGTAACCCACAACTTGAGGCTTAGTTAAACTCTTGACGTCCTCGTCAGGCCTACCCTGAATCTTCCTCCTTGTGATTGGTGATGTGGAATTTGCCTAAGATGTTACAAACACCCCCCTCGAGGACTCATCATACCCAATGAGGTTTCCCCCACCATCCCGATGGTAAATGGATTCGCTCTGATACCATTTGTAACACCCCAAACCAACCATACCAAATATGGTTTGCTTTGACCACACACACCTGGGCTTACGGTTTTAGAACGCGTCTGATAGAGAAGGTATCCAGTCCCTTATAAGGCAACCTTAGTTCCCCTTCCCAGCTCATGTGGGATCTTATGGTCCCATTCCTTACAAGGCAACCTTTGTTCCGCTCTCAAGCAATGTGGGATGATCTCATAATTAGATACATTTACCTGCTATATAAGAAAAAATGTTCACATAGAAAATAAACTTCTATTTTATAAAGTTTGTGCATTTTGCCCAATTTTCAGATATAACATTTCCTTTTATTTCCTAATTTACATACAGGTGCACCGATGGAGGTAAATATATCTCACAGAACCCGACAAGAAATTCTCACAACTCTTGATCTTGCACACCCACATCTCTTCAAAAATGCAGTCAATGAGTTGCTGCAGTTGATGAACATGGTTAGTTCTTTGCCTTTTGATATATAAATAGAACCCCACTTGCCTAGTTTTCCTGAATTGATGATATTTGATTTCAAACCACAAAATTTCTATATTTCTTACGTTATTGAAGGGCATTTAAGACATTTAACCCTGAAACTACATTTGCAATTTTTTTGGGAGTGGGTGGTCCAAGGCTTTTCCCCAAGAACAATCCCATGGCAAGTCGCGACTGTAGGCTTTTCCCATAGCCTTGAGGTAAATCTCTCAAGGTGCGTTTGGTATATTGGACAGAACAAAACAAAACAGGGATCATTGTTCCACGTTTGACAACACTTTTTACGTGGAACAAACAGGAACAGAGTGAAATAGACATGCTCCACCTCCATCCCATGGAACAAGGTGGAACAGACTTATATATTTTACCAATATAACTTAAAGTAAAACCTCCGTCCTTTTTACATTTTATTCATTCCTTAAATTTTATTTGTTGTATTTTATGCTCTTTTAGACTCTCACTTTACTGTAATCAAAATATTATTTTTATATGGTTTCTATATTTTCATTAATCTATGCAATTTATTCAATATTAATAATAAAAAGTAATATAGAAATTGGAAGATATATAAACTTTTTATTTTGGTGTCATTTTAATCGTCTTGATGAAAACTTTCTAATGATACATTTTGTTATAAAAAATATTTATTTTATTATAATTTAATAAATTACATAAATCAAAAAAAATATATAAACAACTCATCGAGGGTAAATTGGTCATTCTATCTGTTTTGTCCTGTCTAATTTTGTCTTATCAAACGTTGAATGACTGTTCTATGCTGTTATGTGTTGTTCTGTTTTATCTTATCCGGATACCAAACACACCCTCAATGACCACAATTGCATATGTAGATGGCAGGATTAGAACCCGGGTTGATTTTATCATTCCCTTATCTTTATTCTCCATGCTATCCCTTCTAGTGTATTGCAATTTACATGTGACATAGAGTACATATTTATATCTAGAGTAAATTACGTTTTTTGTCCCTATGGTTTGTTAAAAGTTGCAATATTCATCCTTGTCTCTTAGAAATTGTAGTTTTCGTCTCTATGGTTTGTAATCCATTGTTATTTTCGTCCTTATGATTTACAATTTATTGTTGTTTCAGTCCATGTGGTTTACAATTCTTTACGGTTTTGGTCTCTTATAATTAAAGGTAGGAATTAATACAGGAACAAAAATTGGCAATAAATTGCAAACCATAGGTACAAAAATCATAATTTCTAAACCATAGGGACGAAAATCGCAATTTCTAAATCGTAATTTACTCTTATATCTAAATTTCGAACTCCAAAATAACTGTCTTTTATCTTATAGAACTTGGCAAAAGATTACTGGTCATCCATGTTCTTTTTGAAGTTCAAAGAAGAAGCTGCTATGAGAAGTGTCGATCATGAACTTGAACAAGTAAATGGTTGGAATTTTTCTCCAAGATTGAGCTCCGTTCATTGTCCCGACGATCCGTTCTACCAAGATCACATGCCTACCCTCGATGCTCGTGGTCCACACCTACACTAAGAGTATGTCAAACTCCCTACCTTCCATCTCGAAGTATAGAAAGCTTCCAAGGGTTCGTATTCAACAAGATGATAGCAAGCCGCTAGGTGTTATGTCATAATTACATAAATGCCCTTGTATCGGTCCATAGAAGCAACATCGTGGTCTCTGAGGATTTTTTGGCTATTATCTTCAGGGTTTCAAGGGGTTAGTCAAGATGTACGCAAACTGGTCTGGACACTAAAAAGATCCCATTAGATGTGTCCCTTCTTGGGGGTTGGTGGTTTTGGTCCTCTAGCTATAAGCAAATATGAAGGACATTGCAATCAACTTTGAGACCATACAGATTTAGTTATTGAACAATTTTGGCCATTTTTTGTACCATTCCTTGTATAGGACAATGAATTATATGAACATTTGTATATTTATAAGTAATGATAGTCGTTCTTTAGCATGTTAAATGTGTGATTGGGTCTTTCATCAACGAATGTAAAATTATATCTTACCTCAGTGCATCTCTAATTTATATCAGTAAAAGCAGAAGTAATACATCTCATCGCCGCTTCTGTAATTTGTATATATGTATCTTTGTTATCTCATTTTCCAGTGTAATCAAAAGTTTCAGGTGTAACAAAGTCCAGCGGTATGTGAGTCTTTGATCTCGTAGGAGGTCAGGGATTCAAACCTCACCAAAAAATGAGGAGGGTATGTGAGTTTTTCTATTTGTCGTATATAAATATTATGTACTTAAAAAAATAACTTAGTATTATATTTGACAGTTGTAATAAGTTTTTGAGCAAACTACGTTTTTCGTCCATGTGGTTATCATATTGTGATTTTTGTCTTTATGGTTCGTAATACCTTTTAGTATGAGGGACGAAAATAGTAATAAATTATAAACATCAATGACGAAAACAACGAAAAGATTTAAATCATAGGAACGAAAATAGAAATTGTAACCATAAAAAGGAAAATCATAAGTTCAAAAATATAGAGATAAAAATAGTAATTTTCAACAAACTATAAGGATGAAAAACATAATTTAATTAAGAGTTATTGGATGGTTTGGTATATAATGATTAAGAGACTCTCATGATATAATGCAAATGAAATATAAATGTTCGGTAATTGTTTACAATTAATTAATGTACTGAATGGTTAAAGAATGCCCATGATACAAAATCATTCAAATGGTTTTAGAATTAATTAAAAAACAAACTTTTTGTTGTAAAACAAGATTTATCTTTAATGATTAGAAACTGTCTTTTAATAAAACTGATAAAAATAAAAACAACCCCTTATTACTTCTTTTCTAAAATAAATATCAACGGTAATAATATATCGTGGGATTTATTATTCTTGTACGGAAGAAAAGATTACAAAGATGTTAAATTACAAAAATGCCCTTTTGTAGTGCCTTCTTTAATCTTCTTCCTTTTGCGGGAAACACAAATCCTAATTTTGCGCCTCGCTTAAACCCTACAAAAATGGCGTCTTCATCATAAAAGAGAACAAACGCTCCCCCTCGCCACCCTCAAACCATTGGATTCCGACCAAATAATGGCGCCGGATGCTGGAGGGCATGACGGAGAACCCAATCAGAACACGGTTTTCCTTGACACCAGTCTGGGCACTCATTTAGCTACGATTGTCTCTGATTCCGACACTGTCTCCGATCTCAAAAGTAATCTTCATACCCTAATATTCGTCGTTGTAATAGGGTTTATGGCGACATTATTTTTTGAGTTTAATTTAACTTTGGATTCCTATTTTTCTCTGGCAGAGAAGGAAAATTGTTATTTGGATTAGGAATTAGTGTAAAGAGCTGCACTTTCACTTTGGATATAATGCCGTATTTCTCAATTTTACAAATGATATCATTATATTAATTTCTCGTCTTTTAGAATAATTGGTGATTTGATCGAATTTTATAACTGCTAAGGTTAGATATTTAGAATTAGGGGCTGTTTGGTTGATTTTCCATTAATTCTTGTATGGATAAAGCTGTCTGTTAATCTGTGGGTATAGATTGGGAAGGTTTTTGTTTGGGAGGGCTTTTTAATAGATGCAAGGAGCTTGTTTTTTGATTTGGAGGGATAGGTTTCAAAAAAAACTTGGTTTGTTGCATAAAGCTCCCTCTAGATGCTTATTGAATAATCCACTTTCTATATCATTAAGTCACTACCGAACAGTCATGTATAGCTGACTGAATAAGCTGTGAGTCTTATTAAGCCTATTAAACTTCTATCAAACAGGCCCTTACTGGTGGTGTGTAACCTTGACATCAGACATCAATTCTGCATTTGTAATGCGTAACCTTGACATCAGACATCAACCTGTAGCCTTCTTATTTCCTTCTCTTTCAGGGTACTTGCATTTCTATAAGTAATGTCTGTTAAGATAAAGGCAAGGGTTGGTTTTCGCTTGCTCTTTATCGCACTTGGTTATTCCTCGGAAAATGAGTTTGGGGAGGGACTTCAAAGCATTGTCAAATGATTAAATAAAACTGCTTATGATATAATTAATAAACGTAAGCCTAATGTCAACAACTTTAGGCATTTTACGTAAGCCTAAACGTAAGCCTAAAGCTCCCTGTGTGTGTTGTGTAGTAGGCATTTTAGAATAAGTGAATCTGGGTAGTGCCTAATATGATCAGGTTATACAGATTATAAAGCTACACCGATCCCCTTCAATAGTGATAGGGTTCCAACATCAAGGAAGTTCCATAGTAGGTTTAAGTTAATTGTAATGTGCATGTAGGGTTGTTGAACAAGCATTAAAGGCTGCCTGCTTTTTGTTGGATACCAATTTTTCTTACAAAAATAAACTTCTGGGAAAGGCCAAACATATTCATTGCAGCAGTTTTTGTTTTACAACTTCGTGTTGGTGGAGCATTTTTGCCTGTCTTGGAGTGAGTGTTGAGATTGTTGGGTTCAAGCAAGAATGCATCGGTACATTTTCTTAAAAAATTTATTTGGTTTTTTTGCAGAGAAAATTATGTTAGAACATCATCAGTGCTTTCCTGCAATTGGAGATATTAAAATTCACTGCTTGAAGGTATTTTCATTCCTATAATTTGGGTAAACAATGTCATTGTTTTTTTTCTTTGTTATCCTTCAACTTCTCTGTTGGCAGGTAAAAAGGCGAGGAAACTTCTATCATCTGTCAGATTCTATGCTTGTTAAGAGTGCATTTGGGACTACCAAAAGGAATTGGTTTGTCTCCGCAGATGCTTCTCGCTTAGAGCAATGTGATGGTATTCAACAATTTGATAAACGTAAGGTTGGGGATCAACTAGCCTTGCCTTGGGTAACAGATAGTCGATCGATTGATAAGCATGATAGTCTTGCAGACAGACCTTCAAAGCAGTCTCTTGTCAATGGGTCGCCATCAATGCATCCTAAGATTGTACCATTTGTGAATCAGAAAGTTCCTAGTGTCGCTCATCTTACTTCTGGTGATTCCTGCAAAGATCTGTCGGAGAATGTTGAGGAACATAAGTCATCTAATGATGAACATTGGAGAAATCCGCAACCAGATTCAGAGAAGCAAGTAGATTCTAAAATAGAGAAGTTGTATACTTTTAATAACGGGATAAAATCCAAGAAAAGAATACGTGATGTGCGTAATGAGAGTTTGCAAGAAGATGCTTTGCGGTCTGGACCTTCTGTAAAGAAAAAACGTAGGACTCAAAGGATAGATTTAAATGCAAAAGCTTCAGAAGAAGACAGAGATGTAATAGATGATACTGATAAGGTAAAACACAAGGGAGAGGGTATACCTGATGAGAATTCCTTTGACCACATATCAAAAGGTAAAGATGCAACTTCAGATGGTTTAGTAACTAAAGCTTTGAGTGATGAACATACCAATAAAGGTATTGATCAAGCAGCCACTGTTGTTCCTTCAAGTGTTGAAGATGTTGGAGTGGAGACACATCCTCCAAAAAATTTAGAAGCAAGTGAAACCGTGCCTGATGTTGCAATGGTTGTGGAAAAGAATATCCAGCAAGAGATGCCTTTTGAAATATCTTTGAAGGAGAAAGACGATGAACTTGTCCAAAAAGCAGTTACTGGGATTGAAATACCGTCTTCATCGATGAGTAAGTACATAGAATACCTTTATGTACATATAACTTTTATTGTTGCCTCCTTTTATATATGTGCCATACTTAATCAAATGGGTTAGTGGGTTACATATTTTATGATAGGACTTCAAGATTAGGTGATTTCATGAATATGAAGGCTTGATAATTTGGTAGGCTTAATTTTGAATCCTCTCCCATCATATGTAGGGACTCTTTCAAGATAAGCAAAAGAGAAAAGAAAAAATTGAAAATTTGCATACAGTAATTGGATGTTGTAGGTACTAATAAGGGTAATTGATTATGGTTTAAATGTTGCGAGGGCATTCAAATCTTTAGACTTGGACA